AAAATCAGCCGCCTCTAACAATATTTCTGTCTCTGAAATTGAAACCAATTTGTCAAAGTTAAGATTAAAACACAATATTTTCAAATTCCACCGATTCCAATCATAAATGTGTCGCTGTTCCTTTGTAATGTATGTTTAGTAATGGTTTTATCGCACATTGAATGCGTTAAAGTATGAAAAAATTTTGAAAAATATTAATATGAACATTAACCGCATTTTAAAATAAAGTATTACAAGCACTAGTATTTCTTGTTTATCTAGAAAAATATTTGAAAACATGTAAAACAATTTGAACGATGTTGCAAAGCGACATTCTTAAAACTAATAATAAAAGAAACAGTCATAATTCTGCTCTCTAATTGCTATGCTGAAGTAATCTGTTTTCGTTCACGACCAGTTGCTGTTTGGTTGGCTATCAGGAAATGATTGCATTTGAAAAATGGATACGAACAATTAAGATTTGTTGCCAAGTATAAATTGTATGCATCTTAAAGGAAATTAATTTTGTGCATCCAACTAATCGTCACGTGCATTTGACCCACTCGTTTATGAATTTGTTTAATTTAGCCCACGTTTCTGAACTAGTTTATTTCGAAGTTCCTTTACAAATATTTACAAATGTTTTCATTAAATGACTGCGTTATATACACGACTGCATAATAACTCTCGACAGTTTCCAAGCACTTAGTGAATAAAATGTGCCTGGGTAAGCAGTCTCTAGAATCTACGTCCTGATGTTCCACTTAATTGATCTGTGTAATTTTAAAATTCACGATTCTATCACGTGTTGCAATTTGTTTTGTGTATAGGACTACTTTAACAGCCATAGGATTCAAAATATGATTTAGTATTTGGAAAGAACATTGATGGATGCTTTGGGAAAAATTGCTAAATCTCTGTAATCTACGAAGAAAACACCCATTCAGGCATGTAGACAGTCGTAAGACGAGGCGAGACGATCATTAAAATATATGAGTTTTATGTTACAAAAAGCGCAAAAATGAATAAGAAGTAATCTTCAGTTGTAAATTGCATGCTGCCATGATTAAGACAGGAATCATATGAATTTTTGAAATGTTGATAATACAGATTTTTTACGAGTTACAGTGTAACTTGCGCGGTGCAGTAACTTGCGCGGTGCATATTTTGAAGAAAGTACTCCATAAGTTGCACCCTGTTTGCATGTAGTTTTTTTTTTTTTTTTTGGTTCAAGGAAAATCTATTTTTAGCTATAAAATGAGAAAAAAGACGTGTTCTGGTACTACCGTACTTTTCTGCTGTGTACCCCTGTGATGAGAAAGAGTGTACTTTCTGCTAAGTGTTAATGAAATAATAAGAAGATACTAAATCCGTATGTGAAGTAGATCAAGACCCGCTAAGAGCAACACATTACATTGTCAGGGGGCAATCATTGCGGCCAATTGTCGCTCTACAGACATATTATGCTCTGCCATGTTCTATAATGCGCGGTTTTGTGTTTTTTGCAATAACCTAAATTTTTCTTCATTTATATACTATTTTTCGTGCATGACTGATTGATTGTTATGAAAAAACAAATTTGTTGGAATATTCAGCAAAAGTTTTAATGTACTTTGTTCATTAGTTCTAAAATGATTTTTAAGTCAACTTGAAACGTAAGGTTTTTTTTTAAATTTTGTTTTGAAATTTCTCCTCTAATAGAAAATAAAACGTAAAATCAAAATTATAGAACATATATTAAGTTTAAGTTAAATCCTTCTCTGTGCCATAAGACCCACAAGGCAGGTGCTCATACCTGGTTTCTGTGGTGTTAAGCGGATAAGGGTCATTGACTCCTCATGGGTGGGACACCAGTCCATCGCAGAGTGACCTCCCACCCCCACCCCCTCCAGCGTAAGCCGGTACTCATCGCAGCTAGATGGACTGAGACAATATAGATAAAGTGCCTTGTCTAAGGACATAACAAACAACATCAAGTGCCCAAAGCGGGGCTTGAACCAGCAACTTAGGTTTATTGGTTAAACCTATATATGATCAATGACCTATGTGTTCCACATATAATACAAATATAGCCAATAGAACTTTTAAACTTAACTTATAATCTAATTTGAGAACAACATGAAATTAGGCATAAAGAGAAACTTTTACATCTTCTACATTGATGTAGTCGTGGTTGTATGTCACGTTTCATTCAAACTAAAATAAAAATGTTTTGACATTCCTTTTTCGATGAAATATTTTTATCTAAAATTCTATTATTTCATACATAAACAGACGTTTTCTTACAGTCTTGTGCACTTCTCGAGCTTTTTGGAAAGAAAAGAAACAGAAAAACTTTCTGCAGAGCTTCATAATGATTTTGTTACATTAAAGTTTTGCAATTTAAGAAATTCAATACTATCTACAACAAATTGCAAAACTTTAATGTAACAATTTTAAGACCTTCAACATAAAAAAAAAATCACTTATTCAAAAAAAAAACAAACTTTCTTATGAACATTATCTTATCTTTAAAAAAAAATTAGCATGAAATTAGGCATATTGGAATAATTCAAGACAAAAAAATTAAACTCGTGATATACAATTACAACCTAGTTTCCTGGGAGATTTTCAGAGCCGTAAACCACCCAGACGGCTGCCGATGGTGAGTACCACTTCATGTCGAAAAATATTCAGAGGCCACTTCATCTTAACAAAGAAAGGGTTGTGCTGGCTCTTCAGATGACGCAAGTTGGAATATTTTAATGACAGCAACAAGGAAATTCTTTGTTTTGTACGAGGAAAAATTCCTTGCTCACAACTTTTGAATAACAAATCGGTGTAAAAAGGCAAGCGCTATACCATGGTTACATGCAAAACCAAGGGTGCTAAAAGCATGTTTGCTGTCATTCACTTATTTTAATCATTTAAAATTAAATAAATCAGCGTGTCTCGGCATCTTACTGTTTATTTTAAAGATGTTCATGGGAAATGTACTGTTGCAATCCACCGAAAGTAATTTGCAGGAGATGGACCCACCAGATGGAAATCCGCACTGGCTTCATGTTCTTCTACTGTATGATATATATCTTTCATAAAGATACTATGTGACCCTAAATTATCAAATAAACTTTGACCTCTTAATTAAAATAACTTGCCCTCTTTAACTTCATAACCATTAGCTTTAAAATAATGAATATTTTCATTGTAGAAACCAGATTATCTAATAATTTGGACAGTTGTTAATATCATACAAACCATTACAAGCAAGCTTATCTGTGATCGTTATGTAAATGATGATATTCTTAAAGTTTGCTATTGTTCTTTGTTATAACAGAATATATGTTTTAAAAATAATTGTTTCATTTTAACAGTATTTAGAAGATAAATTGTTCGCTATCAAGTTATCAGGTAAATAGGATCATAATGTGACAGACTTGGGTGAAACACAATTGTTTTTTTTTTTTTTTTTTTTTTTTTTTGAGAACCAAAAACAGTTGTTTTTCATTCATGTCTGTCACGTAATGATATACTCTATTGCTGCTGCTTGGGATTTAGTTCCTTTCTACTATTACAGGTATTTTTAAAGAATATGATAAACGTGCAGCAGAGAAAGTCCATTCTCCCGTTCCTGTGACTCGTTTTCGTGGGGAAAAATCATCATAGATAAATTTTACTACGTTAATTCACTTAATCTCATGTTTACAAATCTTATTTTAACCAGAGTTCTTGTTTATATAAGTATATTTAGACATGATTGGCAGGTCGCCAGGCAGCGAACTATCGATATACAATGTATAGATATTTTAAAATCTTCCTGATAAACGTAATTTACCTGTATTACCATTGAAAACAGAAATGCATCTAGAGAAAGATGGTTCCCTTTTATTTTCTTATAACACAAAACTCATGCATTGCCCTGGATGTAAGTTTCCATGCATTGCCATACATGTAAGTTAATATTTTATTTTTTTTGTTTTAAATGTATTAAAGATAAATTTTCTTTTAAGTGTATTTCTTATTTTTGAAAAGCTGTATATTAGATCTAATTGCAAAAAGTTGTATTAGCATCTTGACTTGTTTATGTTTAGTCTAAAAGTCAACATTAATGACTGTAAATGTATTACATGTATATTAAGTGTGTGCAGTATTTGGCGGAAATTTATTTCAGAAATAAGCGTAGATTTGATTTAGCGCATTTCGTATGGTATATATTCATTTCTAAACGTAAAAAACATTCAGCAATGCATGTACTTGAGTTACTGGAAGCTGCTTTTCACCAAAGGCCCTAAATGAAAACACTGCCAAATTAAAAAAAAACCTTTAGAGTATATATACATGTATGTGTTTTCTATATCCTGTGACCTTAATCCTAAGGGAGGACTTCTAAAAAGTATATTATTATTAAACTTTAGATTAATACAATAACATACTGTTAGATGAAAACTGAGAATTACTTCTAACTTCTTGATTTCTTTATAGTGCATGGGAATATTACAGTACATCTTAAATATTCTTGCCGATGATATGATATTCAAGAGTTACTTCTTTGACAAAGTAAAGCACAAGGTATTGATCTATCGAATTTAAGTAAGCTTTTAAAAAAGAAGAAACCCCGTAAAATGTGTCACAAAATTATGCTACAGTTAACAGATTCCTTTTCGGCGAGACTTGGGTAAAGCAATTCGATATGGAAGAGAGCAGATGGAATATTTCAGTAAAACGCTTTTCTTGTTTTCTTTCATTTGTAACATTGGATTATTTGTGATTTGCTGATTTCACTTAACGATTTCCTTGAATAACACATTTCGTAGGTACCCACGTAAAGAACTATTCACAAAGTTTTTCAGACGTAGTTCATTCACAGTATAAGCAACAATAACAGTAGTATTGAACTGCTAAATACATAATAAGTATAAAGGTTACCTTTTCTTTCTCTTAATCTTTTGGGTTATTTTTTTCAAGAGCAATGAATCATAAAAAAACACCCACTTTTTTGAAATCTTTTATTTGTAACAAAATATATTGTTGCAAAAACATATCATTTATCACAATTAAAATGATTGTCGAACCGTTCATTATACAAAATATACATTGTAACAGTATTTTGTATTTATGTAGATGATTGGAATGGTATTCACAATATACGTTCGATGATATTTATAAATGTGTGCAAAGCGAAAGCATAACAAAAACGACGTGAAAATGTGTGGACTTTTGATGAAAAAAGAGAAAAATTATGGTTAATGGCATGTCAATGACTTTTATAATTGAAGGATCGTGAAAGGGCTGATCATTTTCCCTAGCTACACGAACACTTACTACTGTAAGTTTTTATATTACATATGTATCCCGTTATGTTATCTGTTGTTGTGGAATTTACAGTAATGAATTAAGATAATTTTGAGAACTATAAAAAAAATGTCAAACGAAGATTAAGATGTCCAACGATGAATACTGCGATTACTTTGTGGTGAATATTGCTAATTTAGTTTTATTAATCGAAGACATTCTCTTCGGGTTCCACGCCTTTTCTGTTAATTCGAAATAGTTTTTTCAAAAGTCCTTTGGGTCCTCGCTTGTTCTTCGTCTGTGTAGATTCAGGTAATATAATGTTCAATTTGATTCGAATCTGACGTAGAATTCCTACTAAAAGTTCGTCCACGTGATGGTGCAGTGTAACAGATGTCTCGATGTATTTAGCATCATGTCGATTGGCAACTTTTCTGACCTCTGATAAAAGAAAATAAAACAAAAAAATATTTCAAGAACAAAAGGTGTGCTTCATTTTCTTGATTTAGCAAAGAAGAGATCAATAAAGCACAATCTTTGGGTTAATGCTTCATAAATAACGCACTGTATTATCTTCCTCAGTGCATCGCAAAGATTTGTTTAATCAGCCATTAAAACGTATCAAAAATAAAGACAATGATACACGTGAAACCCTTAATTATGACGAGTTATCAACTCTAGGGGGTCTACTCTATAAAACAAATCCTATTCTTATCAGCAAACGCACTCAATATTGTTTGCAATGAGGCTTTATTTATGGGGATTTCCTTTGTTTTAACGCATTTATACTTAATGCAGCAAAAGGTTAACAGGTAGTTATTACTCCGAACAAGTACTAGAGTTATTTTCCAAGCAATCCTTCATTTTTATTATAGGCAAGGAAAACCAATATTCAATATAAAGCGTAAGTTTGAAATCTAGGTGGAGATTACATTTCATATTTACAAATGACATTTTATAAATCAGAATACGGGGAATACAGAATAAATCAGAATAAATCGATTATCATATCATGAAGAATGAACATGTACATTAAGAATTTTATATGACCATCCTTCTTCAATAATAGCACCATATTATCGCCAATTAACAGACTGTGTATTCCTATTTCTCGCCTCGTTAGTGTCAGCATATTTCTATTTTCAAACGTAAATATCAAATTTACCTGCTGGGGTGACTTTTCTGTTTCGCACGAGGTCGATTTTATTGGCAACAAGGATGAAGGGCCGATCAGAACCCAGGTTGTGGCGTAAGTGGTACATTGTATTATTAACCCTCTCAAATGAAGTAACATCGTCCACAGAGAACACAAAGACAAAGGCATCGAAGAAACTTTCGCAGACAATGTCCTGAAAAGAATATACATTTTTTTTTTAAATTAAAAAAATCTATGTGCATATGACTTCCTTTTCAACTTGCTTAATTTCAAGAAAGACAAATTAATGTTGCAACACTTCATTGTATTTTACCTGATCAACAGTGGAATCCATAAATTCCAGAGACGACTCTTCGCCATCAAGTAATACTGATACATTCATTGAGTTGCTGTTTTCTTCTGAAAAAATAATAAAATAATTTAAAAATTAAGATGCAAACACTCTTAAGATTAATAATCTCTCATTAACGAGTGGACCTTTCATGTCACCGACATTGTACTCTGAATAAATTATTTTTTTTTACTCCAAATCAGGTATCACATTCTGCCTTTCATTATTGGATTTTATTTCATACAGATAGAAAGCTTTGTTAATTATTGGTTAATTTTTCAAAAGCTTACCTGGTCCAAGGTCCAGTCCACCCGTATATTCTGAAGTCATGAACTGGTTCATAATGGCTGTTTTGCCTACACTATGGGTTCCTAGAATAACAACACGATAGTAACCACTGGAACAACTGGAAACAGAACTGCAGGTGTCACACGAGTCATTGCTCGCCATTCTCTGTCTTCTGTTTTCTTTCAAAGAACTACTTCTTGAAGCACTTGTGGATCTGTTTTTATTTCTTACCGAGTCACCATGGTTTATCAAACCTTTTGATGTCATTTTGAATGATCTCACACGTTGAAAGGACTCATGGGAATTCACACGTGAAGACTGAATTTCAGAAGAAAAGTAGGTGCAATCAACATCCGTGTAGTCCAGTGGAAGACTGTTTCGTCTGTTTCTGTCCATGTGGTATGTATTTTGGTCATGTTTGACCTTTCTCATGGAACAGGAACGTGAATGCGGTGCCGAAATGGATGGACGACCTATGCGAAAAAAATTGGATGTCGCGGGAGGATATTCAAAAAATGGGATAGAAGTTTTAACACAATGCGGTGGATATGACAGGGAAGTCGCCTCCTCTGAAGTCGATTCGAACATTTTCTCTTTTGTCATGTTTTTTAAACTTGTGTAATATACAATAACTATACTTTAGTAAACAACTATCACCGCGAATGTATATAGAAATTTCCTCATGTAAAAGCACTGCCTGCGATACAGCCAAAGTCTGTATGGATATTGACTGAAGTTCGGTGAGAGCTATCTTTATATATATAGTTTCAGCTGAAATATCATGTGGTCTCATTACTCATCCGTACGATAGCACTTGAAATGCTTTCGGTATTGGCTCAGTGAGAGTGCAAGCATATAAACCCTTTAACTTTGTAATGTCAAAAAATGTTTTATAAAGATGGAATTGACGTCTGAAGTTAAGTCAGAGCTATTATAGTGAAAGCTAGTTGGCGAATGAACGTCGACCAGTGCATGTTTACAATCCCGCTAAAGTTCCAACAAAAGCTGTACCTGTTGAATATTTTTTTTTTACTCTTGCAGAACAATACATGTAAATATTCTTTTATTTATTTATTTATTTATTTTCTTCTTGTATTCCTGGATCTTTTTATTTATTTTAAAATGTTAAGTATTACACATTTATTGATTTTTTTTTTACATGCGTATCTAAAATCAGCTATATATATATATATATATATATATATATATATATATATATATATATATATATATATATATATATATATATATATATATATATATATATATTCAAATGCATGTTCAACATCGGCCACGGTAGTGTGAAGAATCCGACTCAGATATAAGGGGTAACGTGGATGCCATACTTTTGCCATTGAAATGTAAATATCTTTATATTACATTGCTAAGTTTAACAACATCATCACCAAATGAGATACAGGAAAGGACTTGTACATATTGAATATATGTTTGTAGCTCGCTATTGACAGACGAACATTTGAAAAAAAAATCTACATGTCAAAAAGAATTATTGTTAGGATTTATTTATCATTTATGACGTTAATATTGTGAAATTAATAATGAAAAATAAATATTGTTGGCGTCGTTGGTATCAACTTCGATATTTTTGTTCAAAGCGTATAGTTACAAAAAAAAAACTGTTTCCAAAATTTAAAGACATGATTATCCCTATGATTGAACAAATATTAGCTGAAAGATTTTCGAAAGATCCTTAAAACTTCATGTACTGGATGTATCCTTGGTTTCCTTAAACAAAAGTCATTCTTTGAAATATGATGCCGATGTATGATAGTCTGTCCATCTGGTTTAAGGTAGAGACTCTCTTTTAATAAGACAGTGAAAGGTGAAAATAAGTGTGGTATCTGCACTGTTCTATGTAATGTGAAAAATATGAAATATTCTGTAATAATATTGTCTACAAATTTACAAATTTATGTATGTAGATCGTGATTTTGTATTTATTGAGAAAAGTATTTGTGGGTAAAATTCTCAGAAAAGCAAAACTAAGCATAAGAAAACATGTTTTTTTTTTCGAAATAATAAATTTTACTTTCACCTCCCCTCCCTCCAAATTAATTTATTTTGTTGACGGCTAGTTTTAGAAATAACAAAACAGATTGTTTTAGTGCGATAGGAGACCTGGCCCCAAGACCATAAACTGAGAATAGACTTAAGTCAAAATTTTGATTTTTAATATCTTGAGTTTATTTAATGTATTTGCTTAAAAATTGGCAATTTTATATAACATTTAAATTCAAATATAAGGTAAAAAGTTTGCTTCATTATCAAAATTATTTCAAAAGTTATATTGGTTCAAAATTTTGACTTAAGTCTGTTCTCAGTTTATGGTCGTGGGCCCTGGGCTCACAATCATCGGAAAAGAATATTATTCTTTCGCTCTGCAGAGATATTTCTAAGTAGTGATAATCACTTGGGGATAGCTCAGAGCTTCAATGTGGTGTATATTTGGTTGAGCCAGGAGTTTCCAGTGCTTTGACTTTTGATTTTCTTCTTTTTATTTTGTTTTTAAGTCCCACTGATAAACTAAATTTTATCCATAGTCCTTAAATCCAAAAGAATCTTAACTTGATTGAAAGGTTTGGATTTGGAAGATCCTAGATAATTATCAAAATTTCTTGTGACTCATTTCACTGTTAAAATATTTCTACCATCTGAATATGTTTATAAATTATCAAACCAACTTTCAATTTTCACACTCAATTCCCTCCTCACTTTCCTTAATTCGATGATCTTTCAATATGAGAGATTTCCACAAAAGTGATAATTTTTCTTGTGATGGCGTCAGCAGCCAAACCTTACCAAGCGTCATATCCACAGAGCTGCTAATACGTTCAAATTCAGCTGACCATTTTGCCGCTGTTAACTTTTTAACTCTATACCATAGTTATTGAACATGGATCTTCTTTGGCATTCGATTTCTCTTTCGTGAGGAACTTAATTTAAGCACTTAACTAAAATATTGTTTTTCATTATTGTTTATTTCAATAGCTTAAATATCTCCATAAATATATGGATGTTGTGATAATAGACTTAAATATGCTTGAAGTAGTGACATGTGTTTTCTTGATGTGTGAAGTATTATTTCTTATCGCACTTGGCAACATTCTCTGTTTTCCAAACATTTTGGCACCGCCCCATCTCCTATTACATTGTATAACAAAGGTGAAATACAGGTAAGAAAAGGTTTAACGTATTAAGGCGAAATGGAAATGTTTGAAAATTCCCTTCTAAAAACAATAATTGTAAACTAATAGTTTTTTTTACTAATTTATATATTTCATAGTTAGAGGGCAGTATTTTGAATATAAAATGAAAAATTAAGTAATGTGAAATATTATCATTGGCCCCTAGAATCATTGTACAAATATGGCATGGAGGAGGGCCATTCTGGAAATATGACATATGGTACATTTTTAAGGTTTTTATAAAAGTCTTAAAATGACTCATTTCAAAGGTTCTGGTCCTTTATAAACAATGTCCATAGCCCTCGCCCACTTAAATTTTCGGATGCGTTGTGTAAAATCCTTTGAAATTCTTTGAAAAATCACATTTCTCATTTTTTTTTGTGAGCGATGCATATAATCCGAGAGAAAATGCCACTAAAAATTGATTCTTCTGCAACTTTTTAAGAAAATACGGGAAAATGCACAGGTTGACGACGTCACAATTAGCATTGGGAGATCTTATGAGAAAAACGATTTGTATATTCGTACTGCATGAAATTTCAAGGATTCAGAAAGCATGAGTTTTAATTTCTAACACCACTTTCATATTTTAGAATAAAACAACAGGGCCAGATTCATACTGAAACCGAACTTTATTCTTTAGGAGAATTTGAAAACAGTTTGTAGCCAGATAACGGGGGGTTAAGAAGCAAATGCCATGCATATTGTATGTGATTACATGTAATTGAAATAAGGCGGATAAATCAGTTTTTTAGCTCACCTGAGTCGAAGGTTCAAGTGAGCTTTTCTGATCGAAATTTGTCCGTTGTCTGTCGTCGTCGTTGTAAACTTTTCACATTCTCATCTCCTTCTCAAGAACCACTGGGCCAATATCAACCAAACATTCCACAAAGTATCCTTGGGTAATGGGGATTCAAATTTATTGAAATGAAGGGCAACGCCTTCTTCCAAGGGGAGATAATTACGAATTAGTGAAAAATTAATGACATCATTTCAAAATCTTCTTCTGAAGAACAACTGTTCTAGACAATATGAAACTTATGTGGAATTATCCTCAGGGATTTTAGATTCAAGTTTGTTCAAGTCATGACCCCCGGGGGTAGGGTAGGGCCACAATGAGCGACCACAGTTTTATATAGGAATACATAGGGAAAATCTTTAAAAATCTTCTTCTCAAGAACAGCAAAGCCATGATTGGTCATATTTATATGGAATCATCCTCAGGTAATGTAGATTCAAGTTTGTTCAAATCATGGCCCCCGGGGATAGGGTGGGGCCACAGTGGGCGATCAAACTTTTACATAGGAATACATAGGGAAAATCTTTAAAAATCTTTTTCTCAAGAACAGGAAAGCAAAATCTTTTTCTCAAGAACAGGAAATCCATGATTGGTAATATTTATTTGGAAGCATCCTCAGGTAGTGTAGATTTAAGTTTGTTCAAATCATGATCCCCGGGAGTAGAATTGGGCCACAGTGGGCGATCAAAGTTTTACATAGGAAAACATAAGAAAATTCTTTTGAAAACTTATTCTCAAGAACAGCAAGGCCATGATTACTAGTAGTCATAAAAAAATAAAAGGATCCTCAGGTAATGTATTCAAATTTGTTCAAATCATGACTCCCAGGAGTATGGAGGGGCCATAACTGGGGATCATAGCTATACAAAGGGATATAAAGGATACATCAATAAAATGTTTTTCTTAAGAACGGCATAGTCATTATTTGTCATATTAATTCAAAAGCATCCTTTGGTGTTGCAGATTTAAGTTTGTTCAAATCATACCCCCCCCCCCTTCGACCGGGAACCACTTAAACTTTTCATTACTGAGCTGATTTTTGCTTTTTCCTAGCCTAAGTGCTAAAGTGAGCGATGTGGCCCATGGACCTCTTGTTTATTTTACAATGAATTTTCATCAGATTTTTCCCACTAAAGACAAACAGCCGTTCCCTTATCCAAGTCATTCCTCTGACATTCCTTACAACATCACAGGATGCAAATATAAGTACATGTAATTAACAACATTGTTTCAGTGAACATGGTTTTATGAACACCTTAAGCTCTGTAGACATATTTAATATGACGCCCTAACGGGCGTCATGGAATATATCTAATGAGCTAATGTTGTTCATATCATCTTCTTCACTGAAATATGTTGTTCATTTACTAAATAGTGGCGTCTCTAAATGAGTGAAAAATTCTCCAATGGAACGTAAAACAACATACGATCACCAATCAATCAATTTTGAATTATTTTTTGCAGTATTTTAATAATCTTTTGAAAATGGTAGTGTAGTTATTTACGAATATGTTTTATAAATGTTGTCAAGTTTGTAATATTTCAGATTTAAGAATTAAAATATTTACAAAATCAGTATTATTAAACAAAATCTGTAAAGTATTTCTTTTTTCACTTTCTGGATAGAAATATGAAATTTGAAATTTTAATCAATGATGTAAAGAAAATATTGACACGTCTAAGAAAGATTTGCTATGACTTGAATAT